ACCAGGCCAGCTTGTATTAGTGCGATCCCGTTGGGTTTACCGGGGCACCATATTTGTAACGGCGTTCCCGTTTGCTGATGCCGGGGCTGTGTTTGTATTGGTGCATTCCCGCTGACGTTGCCCAGTGGAGCACCATATTTGTCAATTGCACCTGTTTGAAGTTGCCAGGCCAATCCTGTAACGCGCACCCGTTTGCTGTTGCCGGGTGACATGTTTGTCAATTGTGCTTGTAGCATACTGCCGTGATGTGCCATTAATACCAGGCCGCCGGAGCCGGTCAGGTTATTACCGGACCAACTTTTCAGCCAGGAACACGTGTTTCCTACTGCGGAGGGCAGGTGTACCCGTCATACCCTACACAAAGTATAACGGCCATGATTACCGGACCACTCAAACGCTGCATCCGGCGGTCCTGAATAAGGCGATAATAATTACGAGCCACGCATTGGTTTGTTTGCTAATGGCTCTTTGTGGTACACGGCAATTTGCTATCATTCGTGACATTTCACAGAGTGACGAATGTGAGAAGACAAAACAAAAACAAAAACAAAAAATAATTTTAATATTGGCAACCCCCGGCCCCCACAATTATCAACCTCCGAGCGCTGAACAACTGTCTGTAGTATCACCACTTCGCGATGGAGTCATTGAAGACAGTGCCGGATCATCTCCAGTCCAGCGGCTCGATCGTCGGTTTCTCCAGTTTTCGGTGGTATGAACGGCTTTCCCAGTTTAACTGTCTACCGTTTGGCTTGCGCAGTGGTCCCAGAGGCCAGAGTCTTCACCAAGACTAGCTCTGCACCCTGTGGTGAAGATGGTACGTTCGCTCGGCCTACAACTGGTGATTTACCTCACCGACGTATTCATCATGGCACGGACCACGTCCGACCTGTTTCGCCCTGTTGCTACCATTCTTCATCTGCTGATTGGTCTTGGGTTCGACATCAACTGGACGCAGTCGTATATGATTCCCACGAGGCAGATACAATACCTAGGTATTCAGGTCAACTCCATCACCATGGAGTTCGAATTGCCGGACACACAAGCATCCACGCTTCAACAACAATGTGCGCGTCTGCTGGCTGCTCACACTGTATCTCTTCGGGGTATTGCGTCAATTGTGGGCATGATGGTGTCCACCATGGTTGCAGTGGCTCCTGCATCACTTAACTATCGTCGCTTGCAGTGTTTGAAGAACACGTTCCTACGGCAGGGTCACTTTTACACTTACCGGCTTACTCTCAGTCACGAGTTCCGTGCCGGGATTCAATGGTGGATTCGGCCTCTCCCGCTGTGGAGTGGGCGACCTGTACACCTTTCCGAATCGGACCTCGCCATCCCGTCCGATGCATCCCATGCAGGTCGTTCGGGGTGGTGCATAGTGTGCCAATGTCACCACAGGCGGCTGATGGACATCTGCCGAGAAGCAGCTTCACATGAATGTCCCGGAACTGCTCGCAGCCCAGTATGCTGTCCAGTCGCTAGCGCCTTCTCTATACCGGGGCAGTATTCTCATGCAGCTCGCCTAAAGTGTGGCTGTTCCCTGTTTGCCCCGCACTGGCAGCAGTTCATCACCGACATTAGACAGGATAGCTGCCACGCTGTGAGCGTGGTGTCTGCTCAGAGATATCACTTTGATTCCCCAATATCTACCTGGTGCAGTGAACACAGTCGCCGATTATCACTCTCGCCATCACACCGATGCCAGCGACTGGATGCTCGACAGGTCAGTTTTCCAGGATCACCAGATCATGTGACCGAGTACCTGCGACCTGTTTGCATCTCGCACTGAATTAAAAAACTGCACACGTACGTCAGTTGGCGCCCATATGCACACAGCCCGCATGCCTTCAGTCTCGACTGGTCCTGCCTGCAAGTCTATGTCTTCCCTCCAATCTATCTGATTGGCAAATGCCCGGCCAGGGTTGTTCTACAGGACATCCCATCCATAGTCATGGTCACTCCGCTTTGGCCCGGCCAGGCTTGGTTTCCAGCTCTCTTGGCACTAGTGGTGGACGTTCCGCGCGCGTGCTGTCAGCCTCTCCAGTCTTGTTCGCTGGTCCAGGTCACAAAGCTCTCCCGTTGGTACAGTCAGCTCACCTCACCATAGTCGCATGGAAACTCTCCGGGCTAGCAATAGCCGCAGCGAAGTTTCGGGCGACACTGCCAACCTACTCTTGGCGTCATGGCGTTCCCTCACCGAACGTGTGTATCAGTCGGCATGGAACACATGGTGTGATTGGTGTGCCACCCGGCCAATTGATTCCCTGGGTGTTCTCTCAGAGGTCTTCGATTTTCTGACCTCCCAATTCCGTCTGGGTCGACTGTATCGTACGCTAGGGTGTTACCGGTCAGCCATGTCAATGACGCTTCCTCCCATCGATGGCGTTGTAGTTGGCCCGCATCCTCTGGTGTCTCATATGCTCCCCGGTGCATACCAGTCCCGTCCTTCTCAGCCGTGCTATGGCAGCATGTGGAATGTACAGGCAGTCCTGGATCGGTTCCGGAACATGTCCTTCATGCCTGAGTCTCTCAAAGAACTGACTCTCAGGTTGACTATGCTGCTGGCTCTGACGGGTGCCCGGCGTTGCTCTGAGCTGCAGAAGCTCGATGTTCGTTTTCTGGATATTATTGTCAACGCTGCTTCATTTGGGATTCCCACTTTTACCCAGAATCAGCGCATCGGTGATCCAGCCAAGCAGTTTGTCTTCCCTGCTTGCCCTCAGCACCCTCAGTTGTGTGTGGATGCTCTAAGGCAGTATCCTGCTTGCACAGCGAGAGAGCGAGTTTCCGGCCGGCTGCCGCCGCGTCTGCCAACCCTCTGCTGCTGTCGCTCCGCCGTCCTCACAAGCCGGGCTCCCCCGAGCACCGTTGCCGCTGAGTGAGGTGGCTCCTCACTTCCATGTCGGATGCTGGTGTGGTCACCATCGTTTTCAAGGCGCATTCCACACGTAGTGCGGCCACCTCCGCTGCCTGTCGGCAGGGAGCCTCTGTACCCGACATCCTCAGGGCCACCGCCTGGGCGCAATCCTCTACATTCCAGAGGTTTTACTCTCGTGATGCTTCACCCTCCTCCTTCTGATGGCACCACCTTTGGTGCGACTGTCCTTGGCTGACAGTCTGTTATTCCGCCGCTCATGATCGCGGACGATAGGGTCCCCTGTTTGTGATCCACGGCTTCAGTCCGCCGTGTTCTTTTCTCCAACACATTTGGGTTTTTCTCAGACCTTTTCCTTTCCAAAGGTCCTGTATACATGGTATATACCTGGTGCACCAGTTTTTTCCCAGGTGTTCCCACTCTGGAGTTTGCATTGTCCGTTAATTCTGCATTGTTGCCAATGCTAAGTTGTATTCCATTTTGGTATGATCTACTCCACTCGCCGTTCCGTGCGTAAGTTTTATGATAATTCCATCTGTACTCAGTGATGGTCATTCAGTGGCCTGTGCCTGGCATAGTGTGGGCTAATTATGCTAGTTTATCATGCCACGCACCTTTTACTAGAACTTTCACTAAGTCCTTGTGTGGACAGTGTGATAGTTTCTTGTTTCCGCTCAGGGTGCGGAACCGACTTTAAACAAGACATAGTTATATCTCACCGGAAACTCCGACATGCAATTTCCCATTTCACAAGCAATGGAAAATTGTGTAGTGAAGTGGGAATTGTATAAGGAGTTGGAGGTGAGATATAACTATGTCCCACCCACCCACCCTGTTTGGGTGTTCTCCATGAAAATAGGCCTGAAGGGCCTTGGATGAGCTGCATCAAGTACAGCTTCATTAGAATATTGAACTTTAAAAAAATGCTGTGTTCGAGCATGAAATCGCGTAAATCGCGAGGGCTAGACATAGTTATATCTCACCTCCAACTCCTTATACAATTCCCACTTCACTACACAATTTTCCATTGCTTGTGAAATGGGAAATTATCTATCACAACTAAGAACAGGAGTTTTTTTACCGCTCTGTAAAATATCCAATACGCATAGTGAAGAAGCATGATACAGGATTCCTGTCCGCCACAAGAAAAAAACTCAGCGGTGGAATCTGGTGAAGCAAGTCGAAGAAAGGAAGCAAGGTTACAAAAAATGTACTAAAGAAAACAGCGACGGAGCGCGTTCTTGCACTCACGCTCTAGTTTATCCGACTCTGGCTCTGTATCATTCGAGCTGATGTCACTTGAGCTGACATTCGCTGGTCTGTATAGCTGCTGGCGTAGAGGATCTCTTGCTTTCTCCGCTTGGCCTATGCCATGGCAGCGATGGGAAAGGAACAGTCGTGGCTGTCACTTTGGCACTTGGAGGAACGTGGGCAGCGTGACCCGTCTGGCACTACAGTACTCTGTGTTTCAACAATGTTTTTGAATCAGGCACACATCCCTCTCCAGACAGCTGTCATACGCACTGCTGGATACGCTGACCACGACTCTTGTACTGCCACTGCCAGGTCGGACAATGTCTTCTTTGCCACCATCTCCCATCAGTTTGCAGGCTTGCAAAGAATGCCAGGCCGTTGCAGTTCAAACGACGGTTACGTGGCGACTGAGCTGGCTGGCCTGGCCGTGACTGTCACGCTCTCCAGGTCAGGATGTCGATTTCCCCTGCTACAGTTCCGGTCTTTGAGCTGCGCTTGGCTTTTTGCTGCAGTGAATGCACACATTCACTGCAGACTGCAGTGCAGTGCATTCACTGCAGCGAAAAGTTCCCCACTTTCCCATCAAAATTGTACGAATCGCGATGCCACTGGCGCCAGTCGCGTTGATTTTTTCTTTCTGGTCTCCTTTGATCTTTCCATCACAACCTCCCAAACGAATGTGAGTTAGATATCGAGATCGGACTGGGTTTTACCTGTCAAAAAGTGTGTGGGAGATAAGCGACAATTGCGATGAAACGGACCAAGTAGTCTCACTGTGACATCTGTTTTCTAATCAAAATACCAAGAGAGAAAGTGAATATTGAGTCCGTTCCGGTTTGCAACCTATGTCCTATTTGAAACCGTCCCCTCTACCACTCACAACCAGGAATATTCCCCAAGGATAAACCTTCCAGCATCATGGCAGCATGCTGAATGTTCGCACCATTTATTGTATGAGCCTATGATCATCCATGTACTCTAACAGTTCTTTTATGATACAAATGTGAACAGACCAAGGAAGCGGGGACCCAGCAACCCAAACACTCCCACCAACACCTCAAACGGCAGCTACACCAACAAAACCAACGGTACAAAGCGGATTGACCACTTTACAACTAATATTTCAGACTTCGCTACCCAGGCAACCGGATGCAACATCCACAAAGATAGTAACCTCTCCGACAAGTACATCAACAACTGCAACAGCCATGACCGTGCACCAGCAAATCATGACTGGTAAGTGTCCCATGTTGTTGCTCCACCCAATAGTGTGTGATTCAGTGGAATGTTGTGTAGATGAAAGCTTCTAGGAAATTCAATCACCTTGCCTAGGACGTGCATTTCTAGCAGACAATGGCTCACAAGGAGCAGGTCTACCTTCCCATTCTCGAGAACAAGGAGCTGAAGGTACTCGCAAAGGTCCACTAGATTTTTTTTTTTTTTTTTTCGATAGTGAGGAAAATGTTATCAACTCCAAAGCACGAAAAAGGCCAAAAACTAAACCAAGAACATATGCAATATTAAACATGTTATTTATAAAGACAGGACAAGTGAATAATTAGTCAGTCCATTGTTCATGATGATCTCCGACGGTTACGTCGGCAAGCGAGCCTCCGCCACTGCCAAAGCAGCGTGGGCTCCGCAGGAGGGTGCAAATTTCAAACCAAAATTTAAACGCCTACAACCGCGAATGCACATGATACAGGATTTCAGAAGGCTGAAGGAAATCCTGCATCTAACAAATGCCATAACATGAGAGTAATGCTCACCCCTCTTCTCCGCCAACAGATGAGCAATTCGTTTGTACAGTGCTGTTGATGCCGGACCCATTCCGCCACTGGCTGACATGACCGCCGGAACAAAGGAGGCTTGCTCAACCTGCCTCACCCGCTCCTCATAGTGCCTTCTCTTTTCTTTTTCATGTCGCTGATACACAATAGTATGTGGTGCAGATCGATTTGAGCGTGAGTGAGGATTAAAAACCCGTATATCAATAAGTGTACGCTCAAAACGACTGCCCCACAAACCATTGGCAGCGACATCCAACCGGGCACGGTCTTCCACATTTGCGGTCCGGTAGCGAAGACGCTCCCCCGTCAGCGGTTGCAGCAAGGGCTCGATGGACACACTGGTGCACACCTCGTCCAGCAGCCGGGCCGTGACATCCCGAATACCATTGTGTCTAATGGAGGGAAACCCTCCATAGGGGCACGACAGGGAATGCGCGACAGTTGCCTCTTGGCCGCAAGAGCAGTGTGACGGTACCCTGGCCGGTGTCCATCCGTAACGGAGGCAGAGTCCGTCCCAAAACTCTCCCTTTGTTAAATTAAAATGATATTTCTTAAGTGGACGGCACGTCAGCCAGCTCGACGACCCTTTCTCCTTCGCGACGTCTATGACATGTCGTAGCGACTCCGACGCACTGCCCGATATCGCGTCGAATTCCAGTTTCTGATGACGTCGAGAAGATGCCTTGGCGTCTCTCTTGGCCGATCTGATTAACACTACCGAGTCACCGATGGAGCCATCCCCTGACAAGATTCTCCGAGACAAAGGGCTGGTCATCCGAACCGACGAGTCGTATTGTTGGCATAGGGACACAGGGTTAATCAAACCGAGCCCACCCAGACGACACGGCAAAGCCATAAGCCGTCGGAGGGTGTCGCCTGGGGGTGCACGGCAAGTTAAGGCGGGAATCAGTTCAGACTTCACAATGTCCTCCAGCGGTTGGAACATGGGTTCGGGTAAGGTCCACTAGATTGATGGACACACTGGACTTTCAGGGGCTCAGCTGGTCTAGAAATTGCGTGCAACTGGACTCTGCAAGACCACACCAACAGGTCAGTCCTTGCATGACGCGCAGCAGGGCCTTACCCAGAAAGCTATGATAGATATGGCCCCTACAAGATCACTATTGGCCGAAAAGGTGGACAAAATTGCTGACCTAAAAGCTGATCTTGCTGCTGCTGTACAGGAGGAGCTTGTAGCATTGAAGAGCGGAATACGTTAAAAGCAGTGACCAGTTGAAATCCCTATTATGTACTCTTGACTATACCCGTACCATCCAACCAGCAACGCCAGGTCGTTGGCCCAGTAGCCTTCAGCTCCCCAGATGTGTACAGCCACATCATGGCACATAATAGCAGCTTACAGGACACCAGCTACATAAAGCATCAAAGGCAACCGCGCTTGCACCCTTGTTACTCCCTACATAGGAGTAGTGGAGCCTGCTGCAAGTTCAGGTGAGAATATTAGCGAACAACATTAATTTTGTCGATCAGTCCGATCATTTAATCCATGAGATATTGAAAGCAGGAAAACATATTTCGATTAGAGTTGAGAGTGATGTTCCCCAGACGGAGCTGTTTCTCAAACTAAGCCACCGTGGTGTTAATTTTGCCTATACCGTATTTTCCGGGGTGTATGCTGCATCCAGATGTTTGTCACGATGAACAGACATCTAATTTTTTTTAAAGTCGTTATTTTAGTCGCGTGTAGCACTTGCCAGGGTCCACAGCGCTTTAAATTGGGGTGTGTTTGTGTATGTACATTGTATATGTGTTTATACTGAGCTTGTATACAAACTCCCATCTCTCCCCACACAACACTCCAGACTTGTATTTTGCATATAATAGGTACTTCGATGACGAGAATATAAACTGGTATATAAACTGGTATATAAACTGGTGTATAAACCGGTATATAAACTCCTTTTTTTTTAGGATCACACTAGGGGAGTTTGTATATCAGCTCAGTATAAGCATAATATAACCTACTCAGTTGAATATGGGAAATATAAACCAATATACAGGTTTATATTTCCCATATAATCAACTGGTTAGGTTATATTATATACGTGTATGTGTGTCCGTGTGTGTGTGCGCGCACGCGCGCGCGTGTGTGCGTGCATGTGTGTGTGTGTGTGTGTATGTGTGTCCGTGTGTGTGTGTGTGTGTGTGCGCGTGCGCGCGCGTGTGTGCATGCATGTGTGTGTGTGTGTGCGCGTGCATGTGTGTGTGTGTGTGTGTGTGCGTGCGTGCATGTGTGTGTGTGTGTGTGTGCGTGCGTGTGCGTGCATGTGTGTGTGTGTGTGCGTGCATGTGTGTGTGTGTGTGTGTGTGTGTGTGTGTGTGTGTGTGTGTGTGTGTGTGTGTGTGTGTGTGTGTGTGTGTGTGTGTGTGTGTGTGTGTGTGGGAGGGCAGTCATCACATGACACGCCATGCCTGGCGCTATCCCATATAATGTTCCGTACCGTTCTGTCCAGGACAGAAAGGGTGGAAAAATGACCAACCACAAGTAGGCATTAGATGACCACATTTGCACAAACAGAGCTGCACACAAAAGCACAAATCTGACTTTAGTAATACCACCAAGAGTAGATAAACAAGAGTGTGCAACTCCGGATCTCTTCTGCACAATCTGCAGATAGCCGCCAGATACCCCCGCCCGCGGCGGAATTTTTTGTTGACGTCACCTTTTTTCAGAAGAACGCGCATTTTGCCCCAGAGCAGTGTGAGAGCATGTGCTGGGCACCGACTTTGTAATGTAAAGCCCGGCCAAGTGCACGACTCGGCAAAACTTTCCAAAAGACTCGCAGCGCGTGCATCGTCGAAAAGATTACGTCAACAAAAAATTCCGCCACGGGCCAACCCATCCCGGAGTTGCACACTCTTGTTTATCTACTCTTCGTACCACTCATAACCAGGAATATTCCCAAGGATAACCCTTCCAGCATGAATGTTCACACAATTTATTCTATGAGCCTATGATCATCCTTGTACTCTAACGGTTCTTTTATGATGCAAATGTGAACAGAACAAGGAAGCGGGGACACAATAACCCAAACACTCCCACCAACACCTCAAACGGCAGCAACAACAACTAAACCCACAGTAAAAACCGGATTGACCACTTTACAAGTAATATTTCAGACTTCACTACCCAGGCAACCGGATGCAACATCCACAAAGATAGTAAAATCTCCGACAAGTACATCAACAACTGCAACAGCCATAACCGTGCACCAGCAAATCATGACTGGTAAGTGTCCCATGTTGGTACTCCACCCAATAGTGTGTGATTCAGTGGAATGTTGTGCAGATGAAAGTTTCTAGGAAATTCAATCACCTAGCCTAGGACGTGCATTTCTAGTAGACAATGGCTCACAAAGAGCAGGTCTACCTTCCCATTCTCGAGAACAAGGAGCTGAAGGAACTCGCAAAGGTCCACTAGATTGATGGACACACTGGACTTTCATGGGCTCAGCTGGTCCAGAAATTGCTTGCAACTAAACTCTTTAAGACCCCACCAACAGGTCAGTCCTTGCATGACGCGCAGCCGGGCCTTACCCAGAAAGCTATGATAGATATGGCCCCTACAAGATCACTATTGGCCGAAAAGGTGGACAAAATTGCTGCCCTAAAAGCTGATCTTGCTGCTGCTGTACAGGAAGAGCTTGCAGCATTGAAGGGCGGGAATACGTTGAAACCCAGTGAACCATTTGAACGTGCCACCATACCAAGAGTACATAACCCCTACTATGTACTCTTGACCATACCCGTACTATCCAACCAGCAACGCCAGGTCGTTGGCCAAGCAGCCCCCAGCTCCCCAGCTTTGTACAGCCACATCATGGCACATGATAGTAGCTTACAGGACACCAGCTACATGATGCATCAAACGCAACCGCGCTTGCACCCTTGTTGTTGTTGTTGTTGTTGTTGTTGTTGTTTGAATTCTTTTATTCTCACGATGGCCTGTGGCCAATAAGAGATTGTTGTTGTTGTTGTTGTTGTTGTTGTTGTTGTTGTTGTTGTTGTTGTTGTTGTTGTTGTTGTTGTTGTTGTTGTTGTTGTTGTTGTTGTTGTTGTTGTTGTTGTTGTTGTTGTTGTTGTTGTTGTTGTTGTTGTTGTTGTTGTTGTTGTTGTTGTTGTTGTTGTTGTTGTTGTTGTTGTTGTTGTTGTTGTTGTTGTTGCTGTTGCTGTTGCTGTTGCTGCTGTTGCTGCTGCTGCTGCTGCTGTTGCTGTTGCTGCTGCTGCTGCTGCTGCGGTTGCCGTTGCCGTTGTTGTTGTTGTCATTTTGTTTATTTTATAGTCCCACTCCCACCACTCCTCACACCAAGCATTGTTCACACCTGTATGTGTGTGTGTGTGTGTGTGTTTGTGTTTGTGTGTGTGTGTGTGTGTTTGTGTGTGTGTGTGTGTGTGTGTGTATGTGTATGTGTATGTGTGTGTGTATGTGTGTGTGTGTATGTGTATGTGTGTGTACATGGTGCATCATTTTTATGATGGGGTGCCTTGTAGCGTACTCAGTATGACGTACATAATTCCGCCTTGCCTTGCATAAAAAATTGAAAATAGGTCCACCTCACCAGTTAAACCTTCATTATTGATGATGGCTCCTGACCAAAAACCTGCTTGAAATCGCACTGGTTTGCAGTGAAGAGACCACTTGAGTTTGTGATGCTGTAACTGTCAGGGTTTATCATTGTTATGACGTGGCTGCAGTGGAACTTCAACACCTAAAGGAAAACATTTTTCAAAGTTATGCTGTGGCTATGAGCGTTCAGTTTGCCTTGTTTCATACCATGCCAAGAAAGTCTCTGCTACTTGCACCTGCTTTCTCCTGTTCTGTGTCCAGGAAACACATTGGCAATAGGAGTAGGAGTTGGTGTTGGTGGAGTACTGCTGGTGTTGGTCATTGTCATCATTCTGATTGTCCTTATCAGAGGAAGGTGTGTGTGCGTGTGTGTGTGTGTGTGTGTGTTTGTGCGTGCGTGCGTGTGTGTATTTATTGGGTGTGTGTGCATTTGTGTGCGTGCGTGTGCATCTGTGTGTGTATGGGGGGGGGGGTGTATGTAAGACATAATTATAATAATTATTATTATGTTATCCTCCCACTTAAGTTAATCTCTCTTTCACCCAAAGAAGAAGATTATTGCTTCAAAGGACTTGGTGAAAAAACTGTGCTGTAACATCAAACATAGAGTGGTAACAATGCGTAACGATACTCCATACATTTGCGCACTTATGAGAATAACTTAGCTACAGCATGCGCTTTTGCTTACATAGACTCGGTTTGTGCAAATGAATAGTTTTATGAATAGTTTTAAAAGAACAGAAAGCTTCAAGAGCTGTCAACAACTGCTTGACATAACTTGCATGGCCACAGCACACAGCAATGAGATCTTTATTTCGAAATCCAACTCTTCGGCCTCCTTACCGTCATCCATGTTGTGTTCTGAAACAAAGCCAGCTTATTTCGAAAGTGTAGTGGAAGAATTGATAAAATGTAATCATGTTTCACTTCTTCTGCCCCCCCCCCCCTTCCTCTATGTCCTAGGACCGGAGGTGGACATGAATCCGAAGTGGCAGGTGGGAAGAGCACATCAATAAGCATCAGAAGTAAATTCTCCTCCCTCCAAGCTAGAGACAACTACGACCTGGTGGTTCTGTCGAATTATTCAACTGGTGAGTGTCCGGATTGTAGCACAACTCAGGTTCTAAATCCATGTGTGGCATAGACTATAGACCTGTGCATATTCGTACACAATGGAGATTGCACTTTCAGTTAACATTTTTTCCCTCCTGTGTCCTGTCCCACAATGTCTGCAGTAAATGAAGAAGAAAAAGGTAGACGACCTTTCAAAGAGATGGTGGAATCCACCTTCTCACCGGGCTCCCAAGAGACCAGGAGATAAGAAATAGCAATTTGTTTGTCACTTCCAGCCTGTCTAAGCTCAACATACTTTGCACAACAGCATGTTAACCGGTTGTGCTGCAATATGCAATAGAAATACAAACTTACGTCAAGTATTTGGAAGTGGCTCGAACTGATTGGACAAGATCTGGCTCTCCTCCGCCCTCCCCCGCTCTCTCTCTTTCCTTGGAGAGGTAAATTTGCATAGAATCGCCGGTTGGGAGTGTAAGGGTCCGGTATGGCAGCCGCACCGACTCACGGCAGTATTAAAAACTGGCGACCGTGTAGCTGTAGGACCATGTGGTGTTCTCCGAGATGTGTGCGGACAACACAATCGCAGACGTTAGTTACTGAAGCGAGAGTGGAGCTGAAACTGTAAGGGCCGGGTTCCACTGCGGCTCCGCGGCTCCGCTGCTCCGCGGCACTTGGCTGCATGCAGCGGAGCAGCGCGGTTCCACTGTCACTCGCCATTCGCGGTACCGCGGTCGTGGTCCACACTTTTTGATGACGTTTCACCTGCCTGCGCGCGCGAAATCAAACAAATCCTCGTGTTCTGGCCTGCGCAACGAATTAAAATTTGAATTTTAAAATTCTGGCGTACAAAACAATGCGAAGTACGGGAAACAGGAGGTCGAGCCGCGACCGCGGCTCGCAGTTTTTGGTCAAGAATCGTAGCAAAAGCTCGCGGTGAGCCGCGGACTCGCTGCTCCAGCTCGAGCCGCGGTCACTATGGTAATGATGACGTTTCAAGCCGCAAAAGACGAGCAGCGGGGCAGCGGAGCCGCAGTGGAACCCGGCCCTAATGATGACTAGCACTCGGTGTACTTATCAAATCATTGCGTGACTGTTTGCCTGAGAAGGCTTTCGGGTAAAAATAAAAAGAGGTGTGGTTAAAGTTTTTTCTCTGCATGTAACGATGTTGCAGTCTTTGTAGTTCACTTTCTGCTCTTCCATGTTTATTCTGTTTTCATCAAGTAGAAGAGGATCAAAAATTCATTGTTACTGCGAGCTTCACTCACTATCCCGGAAACTTTCTGGTTTTTAGGAGAAACAAACTGTTCACCCATGTTCCACTATAGCCTTGGCACAAAAATGTATGAGAGCGCAGAGCACCCGGAACGATCGATTAGTGGCCACATTTTCACTGTGTGAGCTGAAAAAAGGATAATAAGTAGGCGCGCTTTCAGGGTAGTCTGAGACCCTGCTGTGTAAGGACAGACTTGTAACTTTTCTTGGATAAACCAATTCAGGAAAATCTCATTTGTTCATATTTGTAATGGTAGGTTCTGTCCAGTGTACACCATCCATCTACATGTATTTTCTTGTCTGTTACAGTGGCAGTGCAGGTGACAAATTCGCCACAACAATATTGTATCATGATATAGGTCCGGCATCTGTTGAAAAGAATACACAATATTACTCAGCTATGGCGGAAGTGAGGGGGATGTCATCAACCGAAACAACTTCGAATCCTTCAGCGTTAATGGGTGCACCTGCGTACGAAGAGATGGCTCCAATAGGCAAGAAAGAGGAACAGAATACATCACAAGTTGCTGCTTCAGTGTCTCCAGCATTAGTGGGCGCATATGTGTACGAGGAGATGGCTCCATTGGGAAAGAAGGAGGAACAGAATGCCGTTGATGCTGCAGTGTCTCCAGCGTTAATGGGTGCATCCATGTACGAAGAGATGGCTCCATTAGGCAAAAAGGAGGAACAGAATAAATCACAAGTTGCTGCTTCAGTGTCTCCAGCATTAGTGGGCACATATGTGTACGAGGAGATGGCTCCATTGGGAAAGGAGGAACAGAATGCCATTGATGCTGCAGTGTCTTCAGCGTTAATGGGTGCATCCTTATACGAAGAGATGGCTCCATTAGGCAAGAAGGAGGAACAGGATACATCTCAAATTGCTGCTCCAACGTCTACCAATATGTACCAACCACTGGATCCTGCTGGCGCGACAGAGCAATACCAAAGTATAACTGCTGCCCAGGCTGGGAGAGTACCTACTGAGAGCATGACGTCACCCAAGCATACATCCATGGATAAAGAGGCAGCACCAGCAAGCAAGATAGAGCAATACGAAACACTCACTCTTGACGTTCAACGGAAGAACATGGAGAACAGGACACCAAACTCTACACCAATGCCAGCAAATACTACCAGCGTCTACCAGACAGTAGGAGATGGAAGTCAGAAGGAGCAATACCAATCACCCATCTCTGATGTACGCCGGTCAGTAAAAGACAGTGCCTCCAGCAGTGCACCTACAGCATCGGCTCTTGGCCAGGACGTGAATGTAATGAACAAACAGGGACGATACCGATCGCGAGGTGCTTCTGGCCGCTTACCAAGAGCCACACAGTCAAAGCAAGGTCAGTCACAGTGCAGGGCGAGCTGAGCAGTAGGTATTACCAATAAGCTACTCAGACATCTATTGCATCTTTGTAATTGCATGGCAGTGTGTTCTTGTCCTTCTATTGTTTCATGACAGTGTGCTGAGCACTGTGCCCCTTTGAGAAATTGAATGCACTCTTCCATGATTAGGAATTATCTATTGTTGAACTCCTTGCATGCCTGAAATCGCAGAAGATAGTACTGGTATTGTGAACATAAATGCTCACAATCCGCAGGCTGCATTGATTGGCCTTGCTCACAAGGTTGGATATTGGTATGTGCTTTTGGCTCTGTAATCAGTGTCTGGACAAGCCCAGAGAAGCAAGTTGACGCAAGATACTCGAGATGTTAGGACAGTGTCCCTTTCCTCTGCAACTAACCAGCCACCCAACAGGTACTAGTAAATCCTATGCTGGGAGTGTGGTGCATGCAGTTCAGGATGGTTTTCCATGTTCCACATTGCATTGTCCATGGAGCGAAACATCGTGTGAATCAGGTCTTTGCCTACTATACCGATTTATTGTTGAAAAATATGTATAGATAGTAAAATGGCTACAGGGAATGGCAGTGTAGCCATATCCAGGGGTGAAGCTCTTGCATGGTATAAAAACGTCTTAGAAACTAAACTAATTATTGAAGTAATGTTGACGCTCCAGTGATTGTATCATCTGACAATATAGGAATCATTGTGCACCAGGAGTAGAGTATGGTATTCTAATATGGCACGGCCCTAATTCCTGGATTTTGCTCCTTGTCACTGGTTCATGGATCCGATCTGTCCTCGCCATAATTTAGAGTCTGCGTCCTATGCCTGCTCATGACATACCCTGTCCGCATATCCGTAGTATTGCAAAAATATGCTTGGAGAAAATAATGTTGTGGGCTCAAATAATTAATTGCACTGCTCTCTACGCTTTTCTCAAAATTCCTTTATCCAACGTTTCGGTCTATGACCATCATCACGAACGAGGAAATGTATGGGAGGGTGGTGCTTGTTCTAGTCAGCACCTCAACATAATTGGATATAATGAAGCTGCAAAGAGAATACAACTCATCTTGAAATAATATGTCTGCAGTCTAATACATGTACGTGTTCCCATCAGCAGAATAACGGAGACTTAAAGGGGAAGTCCGGTGAAAAATTTAAATTTCAGGGTCGGTAGAGTTTCGGCCGCTGAGTCGAATGGCGTTGGTCCCACGTGTCTAGTCTCCGACAAAGCGTTCTCGAGATATTTCCGTTTGAAAAACTGAGTTTCGGGGGCTGCGCCATGACGTCATGCGGCCGCGCCACACCCTCCGCAACGTCATAGCGTGCAGCTAGGTCAAAAGGAGTGCGTGAAAGCAATAGTGTCAGTGCTATTTCAAATGAGTTGGCGACTGATATTAGGTGGTGCAAGCGACCCCGAAGACCTAACTCCTTGTGAGAGTGAGGATGCAGCCATGGCTGACCTTCATGAGTTTGGTCTGGGGCTGAGAACCTCGGTATTCAGCTGAAGAAATGGCCGCGCGGGCCGGTCAAGAGTGAGCGCTACTGAGTTTCCGACTGATGAAGAAGCAGCAGCTATTGCAGACGAGGCTGATATAATTATCAAATCGCTGGAGAGCAGGGTCGCCAAAATGGAGAAGAGTGATGCGAGTGCTCTAAATGTTGTTCCATACCGATTCGCTTAGACTCCAGTAGCCTGCCACATGGTGATGTTTTGGTGCGAACTTGGCATATTTCGGACTACTCAATTGGAGAACAGTGCAGGCTCTTTGAACCTACCACGGGCACGACTCTTCGCTCGCAACGCTATGGAATCTGAAAGTTCTAGGTCCGGGAGCTGTTCGCTGTTTTGTCACTTGTCACGGTTGTGCACTCATCGCTGTAGCATAAAATAATGAGGCGGGACTGGAGCGGAAAACTAAAACTCAGTTTTCTTTCTCAAAGCACAACCACCGTACCGGCAAGGAGAAACGCACGTTCTCTGACTGCATGACTGTACACTGATACGAGTACGAGTGTAGTACATGACAAGTCCGTGTGTTGACTAGTTTTCTGAGTCTTGTGTCTCGAGTCTTGTTGAATGTTGTAGCTAGCCCAGCACGGCAGTGCGGGAGTAGTTTCGTGTGTAATGAGTTTGTTGACTGCACTACCTGACTACAGCTAGCATGCACGCAGCGCTAGAGCCGTAGAGCACTAACGGAAAAAGTCCAACTCGGAAACGGCTAAAATACGGTATAACCTCGAGGTTTACCGAGCTGCAAATCACAGGGTACGTAGTGTTTGTAACACTGAATCGAATGGTCTTGGTCCGAAGAAGCTGCGACAAACGGTTCCCCAATCGAATGCGCTCCGAATATGGCCATTTTGTACACGATTCGATGGTGTGGCTACCTGGCTGCACGCTGTGACGTCATCACCTGGATCTGGGTGATGCGCGCTCAAATTCGCACATGTTCGATTGGGCGTATCTGACGAACCATAGGCCGCAGCCTCCTCGGACAAAGACCATTCGACTCAGCGACCCGAACTCTACGGACTGTGAAATTTAAATTTCTCACCGGACTTCCCCTTTAATATCGGTTTGATCCTTATTTGCCACAGGGGATCCAATGCCTCACCAGCAAACGCTCGAAGCGCTGTCTATCAAGCTCTAGGAACAGAACACCTTTATGAATCGACTACAGTTCCCAAGCCCAGCAACACAATGCAGGAAGTTGGCCTTGCAGCAGAGCCCACAGGCGATTACCAAGCAATACTGGCAGCATACGTGCAAACGTCTGAGTACGAGCAGCCACGGACGCACGAGAAATCACCATCATGAATACAGTGTGTCATCATCCTGTCGGTGGCAATGAATGAACTATTGGCATGAGCTGTGTATGATACACACACACACACTGGCAAGCTCATATCCAGTTCGTGATTTTTAATGTCTGCATATGGCAAAGCTGGATGCACCACAGTTCTATTGATGAAGAAGTGTAGGGATAGTGCTACAAGTACAACAGACGTTTTGATAGAACACAATTTTACTTTGGTGTGAACTGAAACTGGCTTCTTCATCGCGCTCATATCGACCAGAATATAGAGATATGGAGATGTGGAGATTGCTTGTACGCGAGTGCTACACTTCTCTGTGGTACAATTTTTAACTATGCTAGTAGTCATTCCGAAGTAGCGACTTCGGCTGTGATAGAGGACGAAGTCGCTGGTTGATCCTACGTGCCCATGCTTCATGTCGATATACTTGACTCACGATTCAGTGCCATACGGAGCACACCCAACATTCCACTTGCCAGCCTGGAAGAAAGCACCGCTCCCTACCAGTGCACTCCGGATTGCAGATGTTAGTACTGCTGAAAATAATAGTTATCACAAAGGATCAGTTGGGGAAGTGAACTGCCTGAAAAGAGAAAAAATCGCCAGACCCACCAGGACTCGAACCTGGGACCATGCTTGTCATGAGCAATGCTCTAACCACTGAGCTATGGGACCAGGCTGAACCTAGAAGGCGCTGACAAGTTTTTCACTCCAAAGGCAGCTCAAAACACGTGCCACACATACTGATGGCACTTGGGTCTTTCTCCCTCCCCAAGGGGACCAACCACGGTCAGTTTCTGGACCCTACCAGAAGTGAAAGAAAAGTGATTAATTTTTGAACGGATTGGGAGAACTTCAAATACAAAGGATCAGCTTGGGAAGTGAAGCGAAGTGAACTGCCTGAAAAGGGAAAAATTGCCAGACCCACCAGGACTCGAACCTGGGACCCTGCTTGTCATGAGCAATGTGTGGCACGTGTTGTGAGCTGCCTTTGGAGTGAAAAAAGAGAAGAAACACATGAGAACGAGTTATGCAGCAACTATCCACGACTGTAACAAGATGATAAACGGTCAGAAAGTGCAATAATATGGCACAAAACTGACAGGCTACTGAGACATTCAGCGACACTCAGCTTCCCCTTTCCTTCATCTTCGATATTGCTGGCCCACCCAAGTTGGGTGGTGTGTTGCTTTGATGCTTCGAATTGTAGTCAGACCGTAACTGGTCTCATCATCGTCCTGTAACAGTCGGCATTCTTTGTTGCCGCGGGACTTAGCTTGTGCACATTTTCGCTGCGCTCACCTCCCCCTCTTCGGTCCTACGTAACCATGAACCTTCCAAGTTGGAAGGCTGTTGGTTTGCGCACTGGAGATGTGTTGGAGCTAGGTCTCGGGTCGCTGAATGTCTCAGTAGCCTGTCAGTTTTGTGCCCTATTATCGCACTTTCTGACCGTTTATCATCTTGTTACAGTCGTGGATAGTTGCTGCATAACTCGTTCTCATGTGTTTCTTCTCTTTTTTGCATTTTATTACTGGCTCAGTATCCGAGTTTATATGCTAGTCTCTTGATCGAAGTATTAGGACCTGTTATAATTATGCAAAATACAAGTCTGGAGTGTCGTGTGGGGAGAGAGGGGAGTTTGTAAACAGACTCAAGCTATACAATCATGACCGTAGTCATGGTAGTAGGCAGGAGACATCTAATCGGCTCTCCCACTCCCAGCTAGCTGCATCACATCATGCAGACACAGGGTCTGCAGACAGAAAGCCCCTCACTCACATACATGTATATCAAAGAACGTTTTTGAAAATCCATGATAATGTGATCGGAAAGATGATTGAAGAAACATCCATAGTCAATCCGGGCAATTATTAGCGGTCACTACTATCAAAGCCGATCATTATTTGCAATAGCGCAACTTGGAAAGTCGGCAAAAAATCCAGACCGTCCCTACCAGTCCAGCATTCGCTATGTGCGTGTCTCCAAAATCCAGTCGAGCGGAAATCCACCAGCACCACTCACGATAACCGCACAGATCGCGGGACAGGAGTTATCTATGGAAGTAGACACGGGCGCTGGTGTCTCTGTTTTACCAGCCGCAACATACGGGCACTTATTCTCCGAACACCCGCTTCACCCAGCCAAACTGGTGCTGCAAGCCTACAACGGTGAATCTCTTCGATCGCAAGGCGTGCTGCGCTTGCCTGTCATCATCAACGGTCAGCAAGCGGAGGCTGAGCTGTACGTGGTCGACTGCGAGGGCCCAGCATTGCTAGGACGCACATGGCTCCAGCAATTTCGCCTCAACTGGACGGAGTTGGCGGCTATCAGGAATGTGAAATCCTCACTCCAGGAGTTACAACGTGAATTTGCAGCGGTATTCAATGATGAACAAGGATTGTTCAAGGGGGCGAAAGCCAAGCTCACGCTGACGTCTGGTGCGACTCCAAAGTTTGTCAAGGCACGATCGGTGCCAATGGAGCTGAAACCCAAGGTTGAAGCAGAGATACGTCACATGGAGGCTGCGGGCATCCTCACTCCGGTGGAGTGGAGCGAATGGGCAACACCTGTGGTACCTGTTCTGAAGCCAAACAACCAGGTCAGGCTATGTGGAGACTTCAAGGTGACGGTGAATCCCCAGCTCCACATCGACAAACACCCGTTGCCGTTCATGGAGGAGATATTTGCCTCACTCTCCGGAGGGCAAGACTCAAGAGCTTACAAAACTCGATCTGAAGGCAGCGTACACGCAGATGGAGGTGGACGAGTCGAAGCCCCTGCTTATGCTCAGCACCCATCTGGGTCTGTTTTGACTCAACCGTCTCTCATACGGGATCGCGTCTGCTCCAGCGCTATGGCAACGAGCCATGGATTCTCTGCTACGAGACCTGCCAGGTGTTAAGTGCATGATCGATGACATCATCGTCACTGGCCGCACACCGGGGGAACACCTAACATTCTGGTGAAGGTGCTCCAACGTCTCGCTGATGCGGGCCTCAAGCTCAACCTGGCCAAATGCCACTTCTTTCAACCGAAAGTGGAATATTGCGGCCACGCCATCAGCGCACAAGGCCTGCACACGATGCCGAGCAAGGTTGATACAATTTGTGAATCTCCACCACCGGGAACGTGCTGCAAGTACGCAGTGTTCTGGGGCTCATCACCACTATCAACGCTTCATTCCGAAGATGTCAACTATCATGAGTCCACTAACAGCGCTGCTGCAAAAAAGGAGCGGCGTTCGAATGGACAGATGAGTCCCGACAAGCCTTCCAAGAGGTCAAGCAGGTGCTGTCATTCTAGCAGGTGCTCACACACTATGACCCGACACTGCCCGTTCGTCTCGCAAGCGATGCGTCACCATACGGGGTTGGAACGGTCTTGTCACACATCCTGCCATCTGGAGAAGAGTGACCGATCGCATTTGCCTCTCGAAAGCGGAACAGGTATACTCACAGATCTACCGTGAAGCGCTCGCAATAGTGTGGAGTGTGAAACGCTTCCACAACTACCTGTACGGCCGGCATTTTGAGCTGCTCACAGACCACCAGCCGTTGTTATCAATCTTCCACCCGAGGAAAGGCCTGCCTGCTATGACCGTAGCACGTCTTCAACGCTATGCGATGTTCCTGGCCGGACATGACTACACGATCATGTACCGCCAAACAGACAAGCATTGCAACGCCGACGGATTGTCACGCCTGCCGGTAGGAAATCCTTCGGCACCAGATACGGCAGAGGAAGCGGTCAACATGTTCTACATGGACCAATGCGAACCACTCCCAGTGACAGCGGAGCAGATCAAGGAGGCAACAGCCAGCGACCCGCTATTGCGAGAGGTCCATCGCTATGTGCTCCAAGGTTGGCCGAAGTCGTGCCCAAGAGCAGAGCTACAGCAGTACTTTCAACGCCGCAATGAGCTTAGCGTTAGCAACGAGCTATGGGGCAATCGCATCATCATTCCGCCGCACCCCCGGAACGCTGTCCTGACAGAGCTTGATGAAGGCCATCCAGGAATGGTACGAATGAAGGCATTGGCGAGAAGCATCATGTGGTGGCCGGGCTTGGACGGTGACATAGCAGACGTAGTCAAAGCATACCTCGGATGCCAAAGTGTCCAGAGCGAACTTGCTGCAGCACCAGTGCACCGATGGAGTATGCCAGACCGCGTGTGGCAGCGCGTCCACGTGGATTACCTTGGTCCATTGCGGCAAACGATGTGGCTCGTCATTGTCGATGCCCATTCAAAATGGCCCGAAGTCATTCCGATGCCTTCCACAACGTCTTTGGCTACCATCGCGAGTCTCAGGACAGTATTCGCCAGATATGGTTGCCCAGACCTCATCGTCAGCGACAATGGTCCACAATTTGCATCTGCAGAGTTCCTCGCCTCGAACGGCATTGCTCACAGACGCTCAGCGCGGTACCATCCAGCGACAAACGGCCAAGCTGAAAGGTTCGTCCAGACCTTTAAACGGGCAATCCAGGCAGTACCACTGTCAACGCCTGCACAGATTGCTGCTGACCGGTTCCTAATGAGCTACCGCCGAGGAGTCCATCCGGCTACAAACGCAACGCCTGCGACGCAGTTCCTAGGCCGTCAGCTACGATCACGTCTGGATTTGTTGCGACCGTCGACGGCACAACAGAACGCCAAGACGCCCACCGAAGTGCCTGCTGGCAAGGCACGATCCTTCGAGGTTGGAGGCGCCGGTCTAGCACGCGATTTCAGGAACGCCAACCATCCCGGATGGATCTTGAGAAGCTTGGGTCTCGTACGTACATGATTGTCACCAGCCAAGGCGCACAGTGGAAGCGACACCTGGATCAGCTACGTGCGGGACACCCGTCCTTCCTAGTGGATGAGCCGACACAATCTGTGGCTGCACCATGTCTCCCTCCAGCGCAGCACCCGACCGCAGCAGAAGCACCCGAGCCTGATCCGGCTGCAGTGCCACAACAGCACGAGGCTGACGCTACCAACGACACAACCGACGCCTCACCGACTCCGACTCTACGCCGATCGCTGCGGACACGCAAGCAAGTGTCTCACCTGTAGAAAGTAGAAACAACCCCGGTCATGTTGACCATGTCGGAACTACACATCACTGTATGTTCATGTTTCTCTGTCTCAATCTTCATCTCGACGTTTACGATCTTTACTCTAGTCCCAGAAGTAGGGTCCAGTGGATAATGCTCCGTAAATGTTCGTATAATGCTAATCATAATGCTCCAAAAACTAACTTGTCATGCTGATTATAATTCTTCAACAAGGGCTATAATGCTCTTGGTTTGGAACAAAAATGGAAGAAAGGCTGCACATTGCCAAACTTCCAGGAAAGGATGCATTTTGTCGATCTGCCTCTGAAGCTGCTACAATATCTCTCACGAGCTCCGCCACTTCTTAGCACTATAAGACATGATCGCGTCTCAATTGGCTGCTCTCCATTGCAACTTTGATTCAGGGCTGTGGCTGAATAGTGGGTGTATCAAATCTTTTCCCTTGCTTATCCATGTAGTGAGAGGTGAAACCATTATTTGCTGGTGATCATTTGGATGCTGGAAGCATACCATGGGAAGTGGTATTCCTGCCTGCAGACAAGCTGTCACTGCTTCCACTCTGTGAAAAATGTTTTCATCTGAAAAAGCTCATGTGAGGCCAGTTCCTGGGAGACGATCTCAGATCGAGATCCCTCCCATTTGCGGAAATCCTGAAAACACGTGGTCAGAAGTTATTTTGCCGCTCTACATCCTCTGCTAGCGCTGTCTTCTTCTCCTTTGGTTCCGTAGAGACAAATGGTTGGCCATAATACTCTTCATTTCTGATAGCACTTGACTGTACTTGTAGGCCTTGCATTTCAATCGTCCACGACGAACTGTATGTGCTTCACCAGTAAAGTAAGACACGCGCTCCTGAGCACTCAAATCGACTTGGTACCGCGTCCATGAGAAATTCTAGTTATTTTCGAGCCTGCTGAGCTGGACTCGGCAAAGGCAGCTGTTTGGAACAAGTTCTTTCTGTTTATAGCCGCTCCTTCATCCAGGTCCAAATTTATCAATGGATCAGTGTTTACTTCAGTATAGCTAGAGAATAGTAGAAATGCTTTGGCCAGAGCCTATGGCATAACAGGAAATCTCCTCTTCGTCTGTTTGATATTCACTTCGTGTACGTCTAGTCTCCTCCATGGCTCTCCATGATTTCTAAAAAAAAGAACTCCTCGTAAATCATCGTTACGGATTCTGTGTAACAGCCTCGGTTGCAATTTGGGCATGCTACATCGCCTGTACATTTACCTGACCACATTGCTACATAAAGACTTCATAAAGACTTCATGTAGCATTGGTGCTAAAGATGTTACGTGTCTACACAATCACAAAGTCATGTGCCGGTACAATACATCTGGCGTTGCACCTCATGACTTTAGCCGGTCTTTGTGGTACACTCTCACAACACCAACACACAGAAGTCTCTGCTGAGAGCACGGTGGTGGCTCGGCAATGGCCTTTATTTAGAATTTTTTCCCTTTTTTGTTTCTTTCTCTCCTATAATTATTTGTACATTTACAAAAATATATCAACGATCGATACAGCAGTCAATCAAAAATGCTGATAATTACACAGCACACAACACGCCAACAACGGCATAACAATAGGGAAATGTAAAAAACGCACACCTCAGAAACGCAAGAGAACACCCTTGCACATCATCTTCACACCGGCACACCACACAGGTCATCATCCAGCTTCAGTTAACACAATGCCTTGATGACCCCTGAAAATCCCAACCCTTCAATTCAATCTTGCAATTCAATCTTGCATTCTGCCCCATGCCAATTCATCCCCTGTCAATAACCCTCTGAAGCTGAATGTAACCATACAACAGCCCACGACGCGCACACCACCCCTAAAGTTTTTCTAAAAGACCAACAAAGAAAAACACCGCAGTCGTAACTGCCCTAGGCATAAACACACACATCAACACAATGTCAATAGGGAGGTTTCGCTCCACGGAATTACGTATGAAAATAACGTATGAACTGCACGGAATTTTCATACGTGAAAATCAGAGCTGTTGGGTTTCGCTCTACGTGATTTCTCCACGACTGCTCAACATGCGTTGTTGCTTTGGAGACGCGTTGGCTGCATGCGCCCACCGTATGCACCATGAACCGAAACCGCGTTTTCTATTATATTTTGCACTTGGTGTACGGTGTGTGTACCTTGTGTTTCGCGCGGCTTGAATGTTGCCATGGACAAATGCGGAAAATGCGAAAATATATTTCAAAAAGTCCTACGGAGGACCCAACGTAGGAAAGAGCTTTCCTACGGAAATCCGTAGAGAGATTTACGTATGAAAGTTGCCCTCGCTCCCCGGAGCGTACGACATACGGATTTTCATACGTAATTACGTAGAGCGAAACCTCCCTATTAAACACCCTTCAGTCCGGGGTGGGAGGGCGGGAACAAACTAAACGGAAGAAAGGCCACTGCGAAGTGACGGAAATGCGGTCAAGGACCGCATCTTGTCGGTACCACATTCTGTGGAATGAAATCCAAAATCGGAGCAATTTTGCAGCGTCTTAGCGCAAATTGTTTCGAGTTATCCACAAAGACACAAGCTTTCCAACTCTCTTCGGCCGTCGGAACGCGTACCGTCTTTGTGGTACACTCTCACAACACCAACACACAGAAGTCTCTGCTGAGAGCACGGTGGCTCGGCAATGGCGACAGAAAAGGATAGCCCTGGGTGTATGTCTTACCGCATACCCCGTGTTACCTGTAACGTTGCATCAGCCGACTCAGCTACATAGCCTTGCATGGATTCCAGGTGCTTCCAACCACCATGCCGTTGCACTAAGCGCACGGGTATGCCAGGTGCCCGTAACGCAGAGGAAACGCCGCCGGCACGCAGACTGTGCAGTCCATACTCTTGAACTCCACTCTGAACATCACTCACTCCTGCCTCACGCAGCATATCTAGAAACATCTCCCTTGCTCGGGAGTATGTCATGGACCCATGGACTACCTGCACTCCTTTGTCCATCTGGATCTTTCCGAACAACGGCTGGCCGGGCTGATGCTGTGCCCGGTCCAGAAATGTCTCCATCCAGAACACGGCACAGACTGAACGGTCGGGGCATCTGCTGATCGGCACCAGATGGCCCTCACGGAACTGGTCATTCTTCCTGCTGTCCAAGAACACTGTCATATGCTGACTGTTAACTTCAATGTTCGTAACCTTCAGACGCGACATGTCATCCCAGCACATGAAGCCTCGGAAACCGAGGGTAATCAGTGCCAGCATCTGTAAGTGCATGAGGGACAGCCTCGGGCGGTCAAACGTACATACTAGCTGTCGCAGTTGAGCCATGGTGATAGGCGTCTTCTTGTGTGCTGGCCGAGCGAGCAGCCGCTGACAACCCAGGATAGTTTGCCCCACTAGGGGCGTGGCCGTTGGGGAGGGTAAGCACACTTTGCGATGGGCCCACGCAATAGCTGACACAGCACTACTAATCGGTGCTGAAGATGACGCCGCAGATAGCAGTTCAACTAAATACAACGCCACATGATCAGCCGATGCTGGAAGATAGTTCACTTGCACTCTCCTACACCACAGCACCAATCGGTCAAACGTCTGAGAATACTTGGTCACTGTTGAGCTGGCATGCTCACACATCATTACAGCTGGCAGCGCTTCAGCCAAACTTTGTAGCCGTGGGTGCCTCTGCTGACGCATGAGTGCAAATACAGGCACTGCACCTGGGCAAAAACACACACACACACCCACACACATAGCCAGCAACAAGCATCAGGCACACACACACAAAACTGCAGGCCAATACTGACAAGCTATTTCAATATACCTTCAGAGACAACTCTCTCTCTCTCTCTCTCTCTCATTGCCCGAAGGCATACACACCCACCAAAAATGCGCCACTTCGGCATTAGCTCTCTCACTCATTGCCCGAAGGCATTCACACCCACCAAACTTTGCCACTTCGGCAATATCTCTGTGCCACCGCGGCATTAGTTCTCTCTCACTCATTGCCCAAAGGCATTCACACCCACCAAAGTGCGCCACTGCGGCATTAGCTCTCTCTCTCTCTCATTGCCCTAAGGCAGTCACACCCACCAAACGTTGCCACTTCGGCATTAGTTCTCTCTCACTCATTGCCCGAAGGCATTCACACCCACCAAACTTTGCCACTTCGGCAATATCTCCGTGCCACCGCGGCATTAGTTCTCTCTCACTCATTGCCCGAAGGCATTCACACCCACCAAACTTTGCCACTTCGGCAATATCTCCGTGCCACCGCGGCATTAGTTCTCTCTCACTCATTGCCCGAAGGCATTCACACCCACCAAACTTTGCCACTTCGGCAATATCTCCGTGCCACCGCGGCATTAGTTCTCTCTCACTCATTGCCCGAAGGCATTCACACCCACCAAACTTTGCCACTTCGGCAATATCTCCGTGCCACCGCGGCATTAGTTCTCTCTCACTCATTGCCCGAAGGCATTCACACCCACCAAACTTTGCCACTTCGGCAATATCTCCGTGCCACCGCGGCATTAGTTCTCTCTCACTCATTGCCCGAAGGCATTCACACCCACCAAACTTTGCCACTGGGGCATTAGCTCTCACTCTCTCTCATTGCCCGAAGGCATTCACACCCACCAAACTGTGCCGCTTCGGCATTAGCTCTCTCACTCATTGCTCGACAGCATTCATACCCACCAAACTGCGCCACTTCGGCATTCATTCTCACTCATCGCCAGACGGCAATACTCACCCAATCTCCTTATTTTGTTATAGATTATGTGATATGGACCTCATACCTGGACCAAAACAATACTCCTGAGCACATTTCAGCACACCATACACAGCGCAGCAAACCAAGAACTGAGACAAACCCCAGCGCCTGGGGCAAGCATCGCCCAAACCCCCCAAAAAAATTAACATTAACGCCGAAAAAACCAACATAACTGGCTGCATGGCATTGTGCATACTCTACGCTAATCCTTATGCGGGGAATTCTATGTTAGCAAGCTATCCTTGCCTACGTATATACATGTTGTTTGTCACTTCTTGCCCCCATGGGGCAAAGGCGAGCGAAAGTTCATGATCACATAGCGAGACCATCCAATGCAATGGGTTTGTGAGCATGGGCAGCGCACTCTTCACGGAAACACAGTCGAACGGCAACCATGGACGAGGTGAATGGGCCATCGGTGAATAGTACTGGACCTGACCCTCTAGCAATGAACAGTCCGGGGTACAAAGGGATTTCCACCCACTCTACTATGTTCTGCCGGCAGCTTCCTGCGATGTCATAAAACAGCAAGTGCCACCAAGGTTGGGCGGGCCAGTTCGGTACCAGCAAGCTAGCATGCTGAGCACATGCCTTTGCATACCGCAATACACAACCGATTAGCTGAACAGGAGGGAACAGCCAACAATCCTCCTCCTTCCAGTCTAAGGTGAAGGCATTGACAGCCGTGCAGCCTGGGTTGAAAAACCGAGAGCAGTAGCGCGGCAGTTGTGCCGACAGCACACTTGCGAAACAATCAATACTGTGCGGGCCCCAGCTCTCGTCTAATGCTCGGAACACTGTCGGGTTGAGCTGGAAATCTGACGCATCTTGGGCCTTGGATATTCTGTCAGCCACGGTGTTGTCATCCCGAGGTACCCAGTCCACAGCAAGGTGGATACAATGGCGTTGGCACAGCTCCGTAAGCTGGATGACTTCTTCGTGGATGGCCGGAACACGGCTACCGTTTTTGACCACACGCACCACATTTTGATTATCGGATCGGTGTAACACTACCCGGTTGGACAATGACGACACTAGAGAACTGAGCACGCACTTCATCGCATTAACTTCTCGCCATGTGGAGCTAGTCGCCATAGGTCCCTGGTGTTCCGCAACAAAATTGCCGTGTGCTATCTTGATCGGTGAGCTGTGCACGTATCCGCCCCATGCGACATTGCTGGCATCGGAATACGTGAAAACCTGGATGCGAGGTTCAACAGGGAACATCGGAAACTCAACCACAGTTTTGCCGAAAAAATTGTTCCAGAAGGCCAGCTCCCGGGTAACCGCCGAAGACAAATGAAGGTGATGCTCAAAGCTGCGAATTTCTGCAAGCGCACTGTACATTGACCTCGTCCACAAACTCGTGGATGGCCCGATAGCCAGGCGGAGGGATTGCACAAAACCTGCAAATGACGCAAGCGACCTTGCCTTAACTGACCTCTTTGAGCGCAGGAGGCCAACAGCCATATTACAGACACGTTCCGCTTTTTCTTTCGGCACGCGGAAAACAGCAATTTTCATGTCCACCTCACAGCCCAGTACTTCGAGCACCTGACTGGGCACCCACCGAGATTTTTTCACATTCACGATAAAACCAGAAGCTCTCAGGTCTTGCTGCATCTCCTTCGCCATATGGTCTGCCTCTTCGGTGGATGACGCTGCCGCTGTCCCATCATCGAAGTACATAAACGCCCTAAAGCCGCGCTTCCTCCAGTGGGTAATAAGCGGCCTAGTGACCTTGGTGAATACATGCGGTGCCGTGGCCAAGCCAAAAGGAAGAGCCGCAAAACAATAGTGCTGATCCTGCCACATGAACCCGAGGTACTTCTTGTGGTCCTCGTGAATAGCAATATGGTGATAGGCACTTTTCAGGTCGAACTGTACCATGAAGTCGCCTTTCATGAAGAGTTCAGTTAATGTACGCAAATCATCCACCCGGAACTTAGGGATGACCAAGTATGAATTAACAAATCTAAGGTCTACAATAAGACGCAATTTCTTGCCATTATCTACCACATTAATAGGGCTACAAACAATTAAATCCTGCACATTGACTCTTAAAACAGAACCAGCCTGTAATAACTCTTCAACTGCCTCCGAAACAAACTCGGCGTGCTTGGCTGGTAAAACGGCATTACGCATAGCTTTACAAGGCGGCAATTCAAAAAAGGGGAGCAGATAGCCATGCTCCAGAATGTGGGTAACCCACGCACCTGCATTAATAGAATGCCAAAAACCTAGGCACTTGCGCAAACGCATGCACACCACCTCGTTATTCGCACTATCACATAACTCGCCTTGCATGACCTGTATTGCCTCCCCAGACTCAGACTCGCACCCTCCCACACTACACTTTTCAAGTGGCCAGGCACCCGTGGCCCGGACAGAGCACTCATCAACCGCAAATACATTATCATTATCTGCAAAAACATCTCTGACACCACTTGCCTCCTGGCTGAGTCAGTGATGAGGCTGCATCGGCGGGCGAGCACCCATCCTTGGTGCCGGAGGGGCTGTAAGCTTCTGAGCTTGCGGCGATGGCGAGGTTACGGTAGCCGGGTTACCGTGGGGGCAATGCCGAGCGATATGCCCCAGGTTATTACAGCTGAAGCATAGCGGCCCTGGGCCCGGATGACGTCTCTGGTTGCCACCCTCTTGCCGAAGCCCGGGGAATGGCGGACCACTGCGCTGCGCTATACTGCCGCTGTTGCGAGTGCTCCCCGATTTCCTTCTGATCGTAGCCCTTGCCTCAGCCAACCGTTTTCTCTGCTCATCTGTTGCCACCAGTGGCTCACGGGCATAGGCCGTGGCCACTTCGAACCCCTCAACGTCTGCAATACGGAGATACTGCATGCGGTCGGCAATAAGACTCTTACCAGTCTCCACGGCCTTCTCGACCAGACGGTTGCCGTCACCCGCTTGCTGAATGCGCACGAATTGCTCGCGCAGCTTAACCAGCAGGTCCTGCTGGCCTTGAAGCGACGGCTTGCTCAGTGATGGTGGCGGCGGGGTTGCCGCAGTCCCTTGCGTCTCGCCCGTCTTTTCATGGAGCCTTGCCACTTGCTCATGTAGGCGCAGCGCCCATGCAGGGGCGGTACTGTCTTGCACGTCCCTTGTTGCAGTTAATGCAGGTGGCAGCTCGGCTGCAGCAGACGACTCGTACGGCTGACCAGCAGCCGGTGATAGATATGGCTGACCAGCAGCGGACGACAAGTATTGCTGACCAGCAGCGGACGACAAATACAGCTGACTAGCAGCGGACGACAAATACGGCTGACCCGCAGCAGACGACAGATATGGCTGACCAGCAGCAGACAGATATGGCTGACCAGCAGCAGACAGATATGGCTGACCGGCAGCAGACAGATATGGCTGACCAGCAGCAGATAACTCATACAACTGACCAGCAGCAGATGACGAATACAGCTGATCCGCGGCAGGCGACAAATATGACTGACCGGCAGCCACAGGCAAAGATGGCTGACTCGCAGCAATGAACAAATTTGGCTGACCAGCAGCAGACAAAATTGGCTGACCAGCAGCAGCAGCAGCAGCAGACAAATTTGGCTGACCAGCAGCAGCAGACTGACCAGCAGTCACAGACAAATTTGGCTGACCAGCAGCGACAGACATGGATGGCTGACCAGCAGCAACAGACAAATTTGGCTGACCAGCAGCAACAGACAAATTTGGCTGACCAGCAGCGACCGACCTGGATGGCTGACCAGCAGCAACAGGCAAATTTGGCTGACCAGCAGCAACAGACAAATTATTTGGCTGACCAGCAGCGACAGACATGGATGACGGACTCGCAGCAACAGACAAATTTGGCTGACCAGCAGCAATAGACATATTTGGC